ATGACAGTTGCAAATATCTTTATAAATAAATAAATGATTGATTATATTGATTTTTAGACATTTGATTTTTGTTTATTCTTTTTCCTTTGTTTTTCTTTCTTTCACTCATTCATTCATTCATTCATTCATTCATTCATTCATTCATTCAATCAATCACTCATTCGTTCATTCGCTCACTCATTCGTTGTTTCTTTTTTGAAGGTTTATAATTGAAGATTTATTCTATTAATGTCCATTGCATACAAATCGTTACGAAGTAGTAATGAAAAAGTTCATGGATTACTTTACTATGAACTATAACGAATTTATTATTGCTACTGCTATTATTATTATTATTATTATTACTATTATTAATATTATTGTTGTTACTATTATCATCATCACCATCATAATAATAATTAATATTACTTAATTGACTATTTAATTAATAAACTATCACTGAACCAGAACTTAGCTTTTCTAAATCTCAGTTTAATATTTCTACTTTTTAGATTCTCTCTCTCTCTCTCTCTCTCCTTCTCTCTTTCTGCTTGTATCTATCTCTATCTATCTATCTATCTATCTATATTTACACATATGTATCTATCTATATATCTCTATATAAATATAATTGTGTATAATAATCTATGATAGTTGATGATACATTATGATAATAATAAAATCGTCATCATCGTCTCTTCACTCACCACACTAATGACAATTGCTCTCAGAGTAACTAAACACCTTAATATATATTTATATTGTTATTTCATTGTTTGACAACTTCATTCTCTCATTTACCAGTAAGATGTAATGTATTTTATTATTAAGCATAATTAATTGGTATACATGTATATATATATATACGTGTGTGTGTGTGTGTGTCTTTGTTTTTATGTGCGTGTGATGTGTGTGTTTGCAGTTAAAATTTAATCTGTCTTGATAAATTAAGCTCATTTAGCTATTAGATGAGTGGATTTCAGTTAGGATGATGATGATGGTGATGATGACAGAGATGATGATAGTAGTTTATTTTTTTTGTATTTACAATTTTTGAGAAATTTTTTACTTTTGAAGTTTGCGCGCATGGTAGGCCAGGCTGTAGACAGGCTTGGTGTTTGTTGTTTTGTTCGTTCGTTCGCTTGCTTGTTTGTTCGTCGTTCGTTCGTTCGTTCCTTCTTCATCCATATGGATTCTATATTTTGCATTCGTTCGCTCATTCATTCATTCATTCATACATACATTCATTCATTCATTCATTCATTCATTTGGACCATTCGTTTGTTCGTTCGTTTGTTTTCTTCCCTTGCTCGTTCATTTGCTTTTCTCTTTAATGTACAATGGAAACTTTATTTCTTCATTATTATTATGATTATTATTATTATTATGATTATTATCATGATTATTATTATGATTATTATTATTATTATTATGATTATTCTTGTTGCTTGATCAAATTCATCAGCATCTATTTAATGATAGGCTTTAAAGTTAGGAAAATTGTATTTCATTCATTCATTCTTTCTAATTATTATTATTATTATTATCATTGTTGTTATTATTATTACTATTATTCTAATTATTGTCGTTATATGATGTCCTGTCTTTTTGGCCGCCTCTATGTATGTATGTGTGTTCGTTCGTACGTGTGTGTGTGTGTTTGTATGTGCGTGTGTGTTTGTGTATGTGTGTGTTTGTATATGTGTGTGTGTGTGTATTTTTCGTTTGGTTTAATGTTATTCGTTGCTATTGCTATTGTTGTTACTTTCATTTCTATGCCGTATATGTAATAAATTTATAATATGGTCGATCAGGGTTATTATTATTATTTTGTTATAAACTTCAATGCTTTACATGCTGTTATTATTGTTATTATTATTATTATTGTTGTTGTTATTATTATTATTATTATTATTATTATTATTATTATTTGTGCCTGGATTATACACTTATGATGTAGTTTTAGTTTGAAATATGGTAAAATGCTGGTAAAATTTTTTGTTCTTGTTCTTATTCATTAATATTTCTGTTGTTTTTATAATTTATTCATTCGTCTTCACTGTATATGTTATTATTATTATAATTATTATTATTTTAAGTTTGGTTGAATGATTTTTATAAATTCTCTTGATGTTAGTCATCTTGACCAATCAGGTCAACCGACCAATCAATCGATCGATCTATTACTCAATCAATTAATTGATCAATCAACCTTTTTAGAAATAAGTAAATCAATCAACCAATCAATCATTTAATCTATTTATCTTTTAATTAAGTTATCTTCATATAAATAACTATTCGCCATCAATCAATTAATTAATTAATTAATTAATTAATATAATAAGACATCAATCAATCAACTGATAATAAAACAATTCTATCGATCATGTTAACTTTTTTCTCAATAATTTTTAAAACATTTTCTTTGGTTTTTCATCTTTTTCGTTTCTATTTTTCACTTTGGATTGTTTGTTGTTCGTCTGCAGGCCTATATGTTAATTTGCTTATGCACGTGTGTGAGTGTATATATATATATATATATATATATATGTGTGTGTGTGTGTGTGTGTGTGTGTGTGTGTGTGTGCGTGTGTCTATATTTTTGGTATTTCATTATTTATTAACATTATCAATACCAACGTGTATACCTCCACCTTAGTCCCATATACATACATACATATATACGTATATATGCATACCACGATTGTATTTAATAATAATTCATATTATCTGTATGTTTGTATTTAAATTCCTCTATCTGCGTATATATGTATATGCATACATACATATATACGCATATATATGTATGTATTTTTTGTATGTTTGTTTGCGTGTATCTGTTTGTGGGTTTGTATGTTTGTGTCTGTCTGTCTGTCTATTAGTTTTCATTTATTTATCTATACGTAATCTGTATTGTCTTATTTAACATACTTTTATTATTAATTACTATTACTATTATTATGTGTTTTGTTTGTGTTTTTCAACAAGGTAAAATGATATAAATTGATTTATTATATATATATATATATATATATATATATATATATATATATATATATATATATATATATATAATGTGTATATAACATACATTTACTGTAATAATTATTGCTGTTATTATTGTCATTATGAAGAAGAAGAGGAGAGTAATGATGATGATACTATTATATATGAATAAATTTGTTAAAAAAATGTATTTCGATGTCTTTGTGTCTTTATTATGTCTAAAATTTAAAAAAAAATTGGGAATATTCTCATGTTTCAAAAGAAGTTCTAATCTGTGACGTCACGTCATTAAGTGACGTCACAGATTCGCGTTAGTTATTCCATCTGTGAAATTATCAAAAGCCGGATAGTTGTTGTTTCGATACTGCCTTACCAATACGGGGTTCCACGCGTTGTTTTCCGAGTTGTTTCATTTCACGAGTCTTTCGCGTGTTACGAGTTGTATTCGTTTTAAGAGTTTTATGATATTTGGTGAAATTTGTTTGATAGGAATCGAATATAACCTTTATAGCGGCTAATTCGCTACCATACCGTCAAATAACCACTGTTAGCATGGCGTCTGTAGATCGAAGGTCCATACTGCCGTCTTTGTAAAGATTTTATCTCGCTTTACGCTCCAAACAAACTAAGCTCATAAACTCCTCATTCAAAAGATTTTCCTAGATCGTATATTTTTCCTAAACCTAATACACATTCAAAGATCAATCAGTCAAATACTCTTCTTTGCTATTCTTTAAACTTTGAAATAAATGCTTTTAAACTTTTTAAAGTTTGAAAGTATTCTTTCTGTACTGTAGAATGATGAAAACTTTAATAAGAGTTTGCAAATCAGTCCATGGAATCAGCCTTATTTTGGGTAGTTTAAAGTTAAGTTCACATTTAATTAGGCTCACTTTTAAAATTTTTTCAAATTTAATTCTGTGATGTTTTTAATCACAAAGTTAACTATTCGTAATTCTAGTTGTAAATTTCAAAATATTAATTTTATAAAAAATAATTTTTGTACGTTCATTTCACGTAAATCTGACTTTAAGTTGAAAATTTACGTCAGCGCAATTTTAAAGAAAAGTTTTTCCAGCACAAGCACTTCTGAACTTCCTAATTCTCCTAATAAAAATACTAAAAATAATAATAGAAAGGTTAATATTGGCGAAAATATGAATAAAGTCCTAAACGTTGCGGAAAAAAATGATGCTGCAAAATCGCTGGCTGAAATTATGTCCAGAGGTAGTTACAGAAAAGTTAGTTTTTTTAATTTTATTAATATTAAATATTAATTATTAATTTTATTTATTATTATTATTTATTTTTATATTATTATTTAAATTTTAATAGCACTAATAAACTTTTTGTTATGATTTAACTCCATTTAAAAGTATTTATACACATACATTCACACATACATTCATTTATTTAATTCAATACATTTATTTGATCCAAGCAAAACAGAAAAACACTTATATATACAGTATGCACCTATCTATATGTTCACATCTGTTTATTTTATACACCTTCACAGAGGGAGGGTTTTTCCAGATTTAACAAGATCTACGAGTTTCCATATAGACTTTTTAATAGGGATGTGACGATGACGATGACGTCAGTGTCTGGTCATTTGCTCACCTACGAATTCGTCGGCCAGTATAAAAATTGGTTTGTATGTATACATGTATGTTTGTTTGTATATATGTGTATGTGTGTTTGTTTATTTGTAAGTGTGTGTGTGTGTGTGTGTGTGTGTGTGTGTGTGTGTGTGTTTGATTGATGGATTGATTGACAATAGGACATCATGCAGTCCTCTGTTATTATTCGAAGCTCCATTGACAAAGTCATGTCCAGACGATTACAAGGATATCAAAGTCAGTTAGCGATATACTCATCATCATCATCATCATCATCGCTATCACCGTCATCATTATCATAATTACTGCCATCATCATTACCCTCACCATCATCATTATCAAGAGGACCTTAGAGAGAGAGTGCAAAAATGTGGGTACTCTAATAATTTGGACGGATTGCGATAGGGAGGGTGAGAATATTGGCTACGAGATCATCAGCGTGTGCCTTGCAGGCTAGCTAATTAACATAATTTATTCACTCATCATGGTTGATGTGTTAACATAATTTATTCACTCATCATGGTCAATTTGTTAACATAATTTATTCATGGCTTGTAAGTTAATTTAATTGAAAGATTAATTTTTTTTCTTCTCAGTGAAGCCAAATTTGAAAGTCTACAGAGCAAAGTTTTCAGAAATCACACATCAGTTAGTCTTCATAATCATGATCATCGTCATCTTCATCATCATCGTTGTCGTCGTCGTCATTACTATCATCATCATTATCAGGGCAATTACTAGAGCTATAAATAACTTGGGAAATCCGGACGAGAAGACCAGTTTGGCTGTTGATGTCAGACAGGAGTTGGATCTTAGGATAGGTTATTATTATTATTATTATTTAAAACATATATAAAGAATACAAATAGCACATGTTTGCATATGTATATATATATTACTACAGAGAAGCTCTTTTTCGGCATCAACTGCCATCATCAGTGTAGTTTTATAGTATTGTCTTTGTCTTTGATTATCACAGAACAATACCATATGACTAACATGATGAACTTTAATTCTAATTAAGTTACAATCATAGCATATATAATATATAGCATATACATTTATATGTATATGCTATATATTATATAATAAATGAACCAACCTCAACATATATATATATATATATATATATATATATATATATATATATACATATATACATGTGTGCATGCGTGTGTGTGTGTGTGTCTGTGTGTGTATAGTATATATGCAGCTTATATGAACAAATATATAGCATATAAAATACTAATGTTAACAAGCACCATTGAACTCACTAGCAGCACATCACTTCACCGCCACCACCACCACCATCGTCGCCAGGTGCTGCTTTCACGCGCTTCCAGACGCTGAGGTTGCAGCGGGTCTTCCCGAGCGTGCTTGCTGAGCAGCTTATCAGCTACGGCAGCTGTCAGTTCCCCACGCTTGGCTTCGTCGTCGAACGCTTCAAGCAAGTGCAGTCGTTTGTGGCCGAGCCCTTCTGGAAGATTGAAGGTTTGTGTGTGTGTGTGTGTGTGTTTTTGTGGCATTCCTGTTCCCCTTGTTGTTACTGATGTCATAGTCGTCATCATCACATCCAGTTATCTGCCAGTCAGAGGATGGAGAAGTTCATTTCAATTGGAAGAGGTTGAAGATGATTTTATTTCTTCATCCATTTGTTCATTCATTTGTTTTTTTATTTTTTATTCATTTGTTCATTCGTTCATTCAAATTCATTCGTTCGTTCACATTCATTCGTTCATTCATTCGTTCTTTCATTCATTCATTCATTCCTTCACAGGCAACGCTTATTTGATTACATGGCTTGTAGAGTTCTATATGAACATTGTGTTGAGGTTGGTTCATTCATTCATTCATTCATTTATTCATTCATTCATTCATTTATTTATTTATTCATTCATTCATTCTCATTCATCCATGACTCAAGAATCCAGAACTGACGATCACCAACGTAACTAACAAGCCGAAATCCAAATGGCGACCTTGCGCTCTCGACACAGTTGTGAGTTATTTCTTGCTTTTGTTGGTTCATTCATTCATTAATTCATTCATTCATGCATTCATTCATGCATTCATTCATGCATTCATTCATTCATTCATTCATTAATACATTCATTCATTCATTCATTCATTCATTCATTCATTCATTCATGCATTCATTCATGCATTCATGCATTCATTCATGCATTCATTCATGCATTCATGCATTCATTCATTCATTTTTTAATTCATTCTTTCGTTCATTCATGTCGTCTAAACGTGTGTTGTTGTTTGTTCATTCATTTACTCGTTCATCCTTACTCGTTCTGTTATCTAATTCGTGTGTTTATTCACTAACTAGTTCATTCGCTAATTTTCAATTCATCCGCCAATTCATTCATTCATGCATTCATTCATTCATTCATGCATTCATTCATTCATTCATGCATTCATTCATTCATGCATTCATTCATTCATGCATTCATTCATTCATGAATTCATGCATTCATTCATTCATTCATTCATTCATTCATTCACTCATCCATCCATTCATTCATTCATTTATACATGCATAGGAACTGGAGAAAGTTTCATCTAGAAAGTTAAAAATAAATGCCAAAGAAACAATGAAGATAGCTGAGAAGTTATATACACAAGGTATTGGTTGGTTGGTTGGTTGGGTGATTGGTTGGTTGATTGGCTGGTTGGTTGGTTGTTTGGATGATTGGTTGGTTGGTTGGTTGGTTGTTTGATTGGTTAGGTTTTTTTTCAGTCGTCATGTGCTGACTAATTGCAATCAATCTTTCAATTAATTAGCATTAACTAATCAACGAACCAGTCACGGATCACGATAAATCAATCAATACATCAACCTTTCAACCTACTGACCAACCAATCAACCAACCAACCAACCAATCAATCAACTAATCAACCTATCGACCAATCAAATTTTCAGGATTCATATCCTACCCCAGAACGGAAACGAATGCCTTCCCAAAGGATTTCGATTTGGTGTCTTTGGTCAATCTCCAAACGCAAGATCCAAGATGGGGAGGTAATGATGATGACGAAGATGGGGTTGATGACGACGATGATGAGAATGATGATGTTATCTTTATGTTATTTAGTATTTTCTGGAAGCAGGGCTAAGTGATAATATCGTTTGGCGCCTAAACTGACTTATCAATATTATTATTTGTATCATTATTATTATTAATATTATTATTATTGTTATTATTATTTTTTTTTATTGTTATTTTTATTTTTTAGAATTTTCAACTCGACTGTTGAATGGGGGTATCAGCCCGAGGAATGGTTCGAAATCCGACCAGGCCCATCCGCCCATACATCCCACCAAGTATGCCCCCAGTCTGCAGGTTGCTATTATCGCTATAATAATTATAATTATTATTGTGTTATAATAATATTATGATAATTATGGTCATTGTTGTTATTATCCATCATCATCTTCTTCTTCTTCATCATTATCATCTTCTTCTTCTTCATCATCATAACCCTCTTCTTCATCGTCATCATCATCTATTCTGTATTATTATTACTATAATTATTACTATTATTAATTATTATTATTATTATTTTTATTGTTATTACTATAATTATTACTATTATTAATTATATTCATAATTATTTTTATTATTATTATTATTTTAATTTTTCAACCATTATAATATCTGATTATTTTATATTTAATTGTGATTTTCATTTATATTTTGGCCTTTGGAAGAAATAAAAGAACTCTTATTATTATGCTAATTTATGCAAGGGCAATGAGAAAATAATTTATGAATATGTGGTCCGCCATTTTCTGGCCTGCTGCTCTAAGGATGCCCAGGGCTTCGAAACCATCGTCGAGGCCGACGTCAGCAACGAGCAGGTCGGTTCGCATAAATTTGCATAAATTTCGGCTAATTAACATATATTATGCGTCGGTTGCTCTTTTTGGATTCATTCACTCAATCTTCTTTGTTTTTGTTAGTTCATTCATTTGTTCAATCATTCGCTTGTTCATTCGTTCGTTCGTTCATTCTTTTATTCGTTCATTCATTCATTCATTCATTCATTCATTCATTCATTCATTCATTCATCCGTTCAGTTTAGTGTCTCGGGCTTGATGGTAACAGCCAAAAACTATCTCGAAGTCTACATATATGACAAATGGAGTGATAAGGTAATGATGACGATGATGGTATTGATGATGATGATGACGATGATGATGATGATGAGGATGTTGATAATGATGGTGGTAGTGGTGGTGGTGGCGGTGATGACGACGGCTGATGACGATCTTCATCTTTTTTTTCACACTCCAGACAATTCCGAATTTCGTGCCAGGGCAAAAGTGCATACCCAAGAGTATCGGCGTTAGTCACCATCATCATCATCACCATCATTGTCACCATCATCATCACTATCATCATCAGTAGTAGTAGTAGTAGTAGTAGTAGTAGTAGTAGTAGTAGTAGTAGTAGTAGTAGTAATAGTGGTAGTAGTAGTAGTAGTAGTAGTAATAGTGGTAGTAGTAGTAGTAGTAGTAGTAGTAGTAGTAGTAGTAGTAGTAGTAGTAGTAGTAATAGTAGTGAAGTCGTCGCAGTAGTAGTTTTAGTTGAGGTGGTGGTAGTAGTAATAGTAGTAGTTTTTTGTATTGTATGAAAATCATATTATTAATGCTATTAGTTCTGGAAAGGCGATTTTATTTAATTATTTTTTTTTTGATATTATTAATTAACGGCAACAACTACTACTGCTACTACTTTGCTTCTACAGCGACTACTACTGCTGCTGCTACTACTACTACTACTACTACTACTACTTCAAAAGTAATAATTACTACAGCTACTTCTCTTACTACTGCTGCTGCTGCTGCTGCTTCTACTACTACTACTACTACTACTACTTCTACTACTACTACTTTAATAGTAATAATAATCTGTTAATGAAAATTTTCTAAAAAAATTGCATCTAGAGACAAGTTGTTGTGAGTTGCTTTGTTTTTTGATGAATAACTCGAATTATTTCGACGACGAGTTATTTATATCAAACGCTGCTGAATTTTTTAATTTTAATTAGAAGAGGTTGTTTAGAAAACTTGAAAATTTAGATAAATTTTTATTTACGCGGGAATAATAATAAGAAAGACAGAAAGTTGTTGAATGTATAACATTCTCGAACGTTGTTAAGTCGTGTGGCTTATTAAACAAAGTTTCGTTGTTTGTGCGAACTTGTCAAGAATTCCCAATGTAGATACCTGGTTAAAATATAATTTTAAAGAAATTAAAACTGATATTAAGTTAATGTTGGGTAAACAAACCGAGCTTTTTAATATGTTTAATGATGATTGTATCGAATTACTTGAACCGAAACGCTCCGTTGTTTCAAATTGTGAAGTTTCGATTCCGGGCTGAGTTGCTAATATTAACAAATTAAATTCCTTTATTAAAAATTTTGATTGGTCAATCACACTTGAATGTACAAATACTAATTCGGCTTTTTATCTTTTCATAAATATTTTTAAAAACGCTATCATTCGATTTTGTCCCTCAAACAACATAAGTCGTTTTACAAAGAAAAACCTTGGATTACTAAAGGTTTATTAACTTCCTCTAAAATAAAAAATGAATTATACTTAAAATAGTTGAAACCCGAATCAGTTTCCGATAGGAATACGTATATTAAATTATAAAAACATCAATTTTTTTTTATAAAAATCCATAAAAACAACAACAATAATCAGATGACTCAGTCGGAAACATCGAGTCCATCTTTGCTAACGGAGGCTGACCTGATTGCTCTGATGGAGAAACACGGAATTGGTTGTTATTATTATTATTATTGTTGTTGCTGTAGTTGATGTTGTTGTTGTTGTTGTTGTTGTTGTTGCATGTTTATATAAAAATGATTATTGATCTTTTTTCGAATATTATATGAATTAGGTTTTTCTAGGCTTAATTTACAAATCCGTCCACTCGATCATTCATTCGATCATTCATTCGATCATTCATTCATTCATTCATTCACTTACTCATTCATTCATTTGTACATTACTCAATCAATTATTCATTTAATAACATACACACACACACACGCACACACACACACACAGGTACGGACGCGACACACGCGGAGCACATTGAAACCATCAAATCACGATTGTATGTTGGTGTTCGCGACGACGGGAAGTTCGTTCCCGGGGAACTTGGAATGGGATTAGTGGAGGGTATGTACGTGTGTGTGTGTGTGTGTGTGTGTGTGTGTGTGTGTGTGTGTGTGTGTGATGTGTGCTGTGGTGCGTGTGTGTGTGTATGTATTAGAGGTGAGCATTTATGACAACGGTCCTGAAAATTTCCATTCCCTATTTTTTTAACTCATTCCCGCGTTTTCCCTCTCCTCCCATTCTCTCTCCTTTCCCATTTTTCTCATTTCCAAAATGTTTAAACACAAAAAGCACAAATTTTTTTTTAAAGTGCAGATTTACAAACACGTCTTCATTACCAAACAACGAAAAACTTCAAATGTTCTAAAGTGTCATAAAACACGAACAAAAAACTTCAATATTAAAGTTAAACATTTGGTCGAAATATTGCGCTGCATTAATTAACGAACATATAAATAAATATATAAATAAATTAGATTTCTACTGTTTCAGACACAATTAGTCATTCGAGGAATAAAAATAAGCATAAACCATTCAGAAAGTCAGAAGGCCAATTGTTATATCACATTAATGCTTGTTGAAAGTCTTATTTACACTAACAAATAATAATTAAGTGTAGAAACACACAAAAAAGGCTAAAGGACATCCCTTTGTTTTCTTTCGATAATATCCTGCTACTTTCCTCATCTATTAAACGCTGCAACTCAATTTTAGTTACGATTGAAATGGTTGAAGACATATAGAATATACTGCCAAATTCAATAACTAATTTAGTTTTACTAATTTTATTGTAGTTTAATGCACTCGACAAACATAACTCCAGAGATAAATTGATGTCGAAAACAAAATGAGATTATTAACCAAACACCATTTACATAGCTTTGTTGATTTCACCCGATTTCACATGGTGGTTATCTTCTTTGTTGAGGCACACGTGTTAGTCTGTGTTGTGTATGCGTCTATCACATGTGCACGAGTCTATACACATATAAATATGCAATCATTGATGAAAATCACAGTATGTCCGGCATTAGTTAACTTCCAATTTAACATTTTCGATTTTTCTAACGGTTGGTCGTAAATCATTTTCAAGTTCCTTTAGTTCAACCGTTAGAAAAATGGAAAAGTTAAATTAGATGCTAACTAACGTCGAACATGATGCGATTTTCATCAATGATTGCATTTCTAACAGTCTTAATCTAATATATATATATATAAATATATATATATTTCAAAAATTGACGATGATGATGTTGATGATAATAGTGGTGGTGATGATGATGATGGTGGTAATCGTTATCAGGATACGACGCCATGGGCTACGAGATGTCAAAGCCACATCTGAGGTCCGAACTAGAGGCTGACCTCAAGAGGTGATGATGATGATGGTGGTAGTGACGATGATGATGATGGTGATGATGATGATAATGATGATGGTAATGATAATGATTAATTTGTTTTTGGTGGCGGCGATAGTATTGATGATGATTAATATGATGATAGGTTTTTTTTTTGGATAACTTTTTACAGAATATGTCTTGGACAAAAAGACAAAGATGGTATTAATTCGTTTTTTTTATCTCTTAAGTCGTTCATTTTGATATTTTCTCATTCATGTATTCCTTTATTCTTTTACTCAATTAATCCGTTCATTTATTTTCACAGTCTAGTTATCTTAGTGATATAACTAAACCTTTCTGTCATTCATTCATTTATTCATACTTTCATTCATTCATATATTCATACTTCTTTTCCTCCATCTTATCTCAATAGTGTTCTTCACAATCTATCTCTATGTCTTTCTTCAGTTAGCGCTTTGCCTGACTCTATGTGTCTTAAACTGAATCCTTCCAAGTTTAAATTAATTAGTTTTAATAAATCTAAACGTTCTATTACTATTCCTTCTAAAATATTATCTTACCTGATTCTAAAACTCTTGATGTTTCTCACAAGTTTCGCAGTCTAGGCTTTATCTTTGCTTCTAGCATGTCTCTTTCTTGTCAGATTTATAAATAGTGTTGCTAGAAGCTCTTACTTTTATCTACGTAGAATAAAAATATTTGTGCTTTTTTGACAATCCTACTCTTCTCCTTCTTCTTACTTCGTTAGTCTTATCTAGGATTGATTATAGTAACTCGCTCCACTATGGTCTTTATGATTCTACACTCTATCCTTTAAGTAAAGCTTTCAACTGGTTCGTCTTTCGTCTGGTTGCTCGTGCCCCTTTTTTGTCATATATCACCATTTATTGTTCTCTTGCGCAGGCTACCTATAGAATATAGAATAATTTTTAAAATTTGCACATTTATGTACAAGTCTCAATCTAAATTATTTCCTAAGTACTTATCAGATATATTAATTGAACTTAAACGCCTCGGTTTACGATCGTCTTCTTGTACTCACTTCTTCTTAACTCGTGTTAAACACTCTTCTGCTCAATCTGCATTTGATTTTCTGGCCCTTTTCTCTAGAACTTTCTACTACCTCCTCATTCATTCATTCTTTCATTCATACATTCCATCATTCATTCTTTCATTCATACAAACATTCATTCATTCAATCATTCATTCGTTCTTTCTATCAAGTTGTTCTCCAAGAACAAATACATAAGTATAAAGAGGTATTCAAAGTTGCCATACAGCAGGTAAGTGGAAGTTTTTTAATTCATTCATTTGTTTCCTTCTTTCTTTCACTCACCAGTCTATTAATTGATTAATTAATTCATATATTTATTTATCAATTTATCCATTCAATCAATCATTCATTCATTTTTTTTCCGTCAATCTATTCATCCATCCATTTACTAACCATCGATACATTCATTTTTCCATTTATCCATTGATTGATTGATTGATTGATTGATTGATTGATTGATTCATTCATTCATTCATTCATCCATTCATTCATTCATTCATTCATTCACAGGCGGATAAGATAGACCAAGCATTGTCTAGATACTTCGGCGACGTTCAAAATAATAATTTCATAAATGGTCAGGAAGATTATTTTATTATGATAATAATAATAATAATAAGAATAATTATTATTATTATTATTATTATTATTTTTGATATAATAATTATTACTATAATTAATTGATTTTTATTTATTTTTAGACGATAGCAACAACAACAGTAATAATAATAATAACAATAATAATAATAACAACAATGGCGACCTGTTTCCTCTTTGCAAATGTCCAAAATGCGGCAACGACATCATTATCAGGAGGAAAAGAGATAATAATGGGTTATTATTATCATTATTATTATTATTATTGTTATTAATTATTGTTATTGTTAATTTTAGGCTATTTTTATCTTGCATGGGTTTTCCCAACTGCAAGTATGCCGTGTGGCTTCCGAGCTTCATAGATGGAGCTGACGTTCTAGACGAGTATTGCGAATCGGTTGGTTGGTTGAATGAATGAATGGATAAATGAATGAATGGATTGATTGATTGATTGATTAAAAAAATGAATGACAAACATCTTTGCTGATTGATTAAATAATAACCAAACAATTCGAACGTATCCGACCAATCAAATCACCGCCACCAATCACATTCCAGTGCACCAGCCACGGCCAGCCAATGAGGAAGCTTCATTTGCACATGACGCCATCTAGCTCCACCCAGCAGTTTGCAGATGACGATAATGGAAATTTGAAGATATGTATTTCCTGTTGTAGCGATACTATCAAAGAATTTTTGGAAATTAATTTCGCCAGAAGTAGTAGTAATAGTCTTAGTAATTCTGGGAGTATTAGTAGTAGTAGTAGTGGTAATAGGGGTAATAGTAGTATTACTGGAGGTAGTCATAGTAGTAACGGTAGAGGTGCTAGTAGTAGTATCAGTGGTTTTAGTAGTAGTAGTCATAACACCAGTAAGTTTGCTTCCTTACGATTTCCAATATTATCGTAATTTGGATTGTGTTATCATTATCATTACCACCATCGTCATTACCATCATCATCATCATTACTATCATCATCATCGTCCAGCTTCCAACGACAGCGGCTATCCGAGATCGTCATCATCATCATCTTCGTCGATGACGTCATCGTCACGCACAACAAATAATAATAATAATAATAATAATAGAAATAATAATAATAGAAATAATAATAATAATAGGAATAATAATAGTTTCTTTTCGTCTGGGACTGTGGGCAACAACGGTGATGACGATGACGTATTTCCTTCTTCATCGTTCGCTCCTCCTACCGGCGCTTCTGATTGGTCGAACAATCGAAGCCTCAGCCAATTACAGACTTCCGGGTTTCTGAGGCCATCCAATAGAAATCAAAGTAATATGAACTGGGATAACTTTGTAGTATATGTTGGCGATTTATCGTTATTGATATTTTTGTTATTATTGTTGTTGCTATTATTATTATTATTATTTTTATTTCATTTTTATTATTTTTCTTACAATTATGTTTTTAAAATTATGCCATAATCGCAGTCCCTCTCTGTTCTCAACAGCCAAACAGCAGCAGAACTAACAACAACAACAGCAATAATAATAAATTTAATAATAATAAATTCAATAATAATAATGATAAATTTAATAATAATAATAACAAAGATGTCGTGTGTTTGTGTGGTGAAGACGCTAGGCTGCTGACAGTCAAAAAAGAAGGGCCTAATACAGGTCGGCCAGGCCAGCCAATCACATCGCTCCTATTGATTTTATTAACCAATTAAATCAGTCCTTTTTTATTTATTAGCCAATCAGAATTTTTTTATTTTAAAATAAAGCCATTAGAATCGCTTTTGTTAGAATATGTTAGCCAATTAGATAATTCCCTTCATTAAATAGCTAGTATAATTGTTTCTACTTTATCCGCTTGCTTTTTTCATCATCATTCTTATAATATTTATCTTTATGTCACTTAATTCAACTGAACTATCTCAATCAGCAATCAATCATTCAACCAATCACAAAAGTACAATCACGGCCAAATCCATTTCAACCAGCCAATCACAACCAACCAGCCAATCACAACCAACCAGCCAATCAATAACCAACCAATCAAAATGCAATGCAGGAAGACAGTTTTACGCGTGCGCCAAACCGCCAGACAGCAAATGTACCTTCTTCCTATGGGCCGATTCAACCGACCAATCAGATAGCGGGAATTTAGGTCACACCACTACTACTGCTACTTCTAATTTCTCATTAAATGGGCCAGGTCGTAATAATAATAATAGTAATAATAATAATAGTTATGGTAATAGTAATAGTTTTGGTGGTGGTGATGATGATGAAGATGGAGGTGCTGTCGTTCAGTGCAATTGTAACATTCCTGCTAAGAAGTAAGTTTTGGTGATGATGATGATGATGGTGACGGTGATGGTGGTGGTGATGATGATGATGATGGTGAATTGTTTTAATTTTTACGTTATTATATTAGTAATAGTAATAAATAAATGAATGAAAGAAAGAACGAACGAATGCAATAATGTGGTAATGATGATGATGATGGTAATGATGAAAAATAATGATATAATTTGAATTCATAATTTAAAAAAATTATAATTACAATAATGATAATTTAAGACGGACCGTGGTTAAAGATGGTCCGAATAAAAGTCGACCGTTCTATTCATGCCCCAAACCCATTGACCAGGGCTGTGGGTTTTTCCAATGGGCCGATGGTCGGTTGGTTGGTTGGTTGGTTGGTTGATTGATTGGTTGGTTGGTTGATTGATTGGTTGGTTGGTTAGTTGGTTGATTGATTGATTGATTGATTGATTGATTGATTGATTGATTGATTGATTGATTGATTGATTGATTGATTGATTGATTGATTGATTGATTGATTGATTGATTGATTGATTGATTGATTGATTGATTGATTGATTGATTGATTGATTGATTGATTGATTGATTGATTGATTGATTGATTGATTGATTGATTGATTGATTGATTGATTGATTGATTGATTGATTGATTGATTGATTGATTGATTGATTGATTGATTGATTGATTGATTGATTGATTGATCGATCGATTGATTGATCGATTGGATCGATTGATCGATTGATCGATCGATTACTGGATTGGCTGGCTGGCTGACTTGATTGAATTGAAACGGGTCTAAACTAAAAAATTATGCAAACTAAAAACGCCAACAAAGTCATGAACGTTGATTGGTTAGTCTCGGGGTGGGTGGACTTGTTCGTCAAGAAAAAGGTTGTCAGCCAGACATTATGACCAATAAAAGAAGCCTTAAATCCTATAAAATTCTCCCCGTGTCGAAAAAAAGTTGCTATTTAAATTCATATGCGGCCCTTCAAAGGTAAAATAGCTCTCAATGCGGCCCTCACAGCAAAAAGTTTGCACATCCCTGGATTAGTTGATTGATTGGTCGATTGATTGGCTGAATGATTGGTTGAATGATTGGTCGAATGATTGGTTGATTAATTAATTGATTAATTGACCGATTAATTGGGTAGTTGATTGAATAATCGCATTTCTTTTTCATAGGTGCTCCACAAAGAACTTTTTCAAACAACAACAATAATAACAATAGCAACAACAACAACAATAATAATAATAATTTCAACAATAACAATAATAATATTAGGAAATTCCCGAAATCTAAAAATAACTCAACGAGCAGTAATAGTAATGATGGCGATGGGGCTAAGCGGAAGCGAAAATGCGGTGTGTGTGGAGAAGAGGGTTATTATTATTGTTATTATTATTTATAATAATAATAATAATTATTATTATTATTATTATTTATATTATTAATAGCAGTAGTAGTAACTCTATTATAGATTTTACTATAAATTTTTTCAAGGCCATACCAAGAAAACCTGTCCTAATAGAAGATGAAATGATGATATTTTTTTTTTAAATTTTTTAGATTTAATGTTAAAATAATATTAAAAATTACAAATAGTATTATTATTATAATTATTATTACGTAATAATTGACTGCTCCCTTAAAATATGTAATGTATGAATATGTATATTTATATATATATGTGTGTGTACGTGTGCGTGCGTGTGTGCATATATGTATAAATTGTAAAATAATAATAGCTATTATTATTTTTCTTTTTCTTCTTCTTCTTATTATTGCTCTATTATTGTTAATGTCTGTAATTTTTTTGAATCAATTTAATGGTTTTAGACTTGTTTATATATTCACATATATTCTCTCTCTTTCTCTCTTTTTCTCTCTCTTTCTTTCTCTCTTTCTTTCTCTCTTTCTTTTTCTCTTTCTCTCTCTCTCTCCCTCTCTCTCTTTATGTATGTACTTTGTTTGTTAGCTTAATTATGTGTCTATTTATTTGTATTTCTAACTTTCCGTTCGATATGATTAATTATTAAAAGTTGCCTAAATCTATGTCTTAATTTCAAATTGGAATGAAATATAACTGCTTGAAACCTTACATTTTATATGTGCGTGTGTGTGTACGTGTGTGTGTGTGTACGTGTGTGTGTGTGTGTACGTATGTGTGTTTATGTGTATTGGTGTGCACGGGCCCTGGATGAGAGAGTAGGAAGGTAATTTGGCATGGCCCTCCAAAGTTGTGAGCTTTTAAGAATGACTTCTGACTTGAAATGCATTGTAATGTGCTATGTTATCCGAATCTTAAATGACTCTATTTAGTGCTGTGTGTGTATTCGTGTATTTAAATTTATTGTTACAAGTTTTTTTTAAGATTGCGTTGGCTTTCCATAGATTTTGCAGAATTTCGTTGCCAACGTTCCGAGCGTTTTGTGTTTTTGTTTTCATATAATTTTTAAACCGAATAATTTCTATTACAAAACCTTTAATTTGCTGTTTTTTTGTGAAATTATAAATTTTTAAAATTCTTATTTCATCATTTCGGAGTATTTAAATAAGTAAAAAAATGATTGACGAAGCGAACTTCAGTGGGGACTCCACGTCCAAGAAGTCGTCTACTCCGAAATTTAGTGAAATTTTACGCAGACCCAGGGGTGAAACTGAGGTTGGATAAAAGTTAATTTAATTGGAAACTGTTAGGCATTCTTAAAATTCAAACCGTTAGGTGATTAGTTGGTGTTGTTCAGTTTTAATTAAGGATTCTTATTTTTTAAAACAAAATTTAAAATCTAAATTTATACTTAGCAAAAAAATCTTGTTTCTAAAGTAAACTCTAAACCATGAATCTACAACAATCAAATAATAAAGTTATTTTTTCATGCTAAAAAAGCCTACAATCCTACAAGCCTAAATGATTAAGTGAAGTTAGTGTGGGTGAGAGGTCCATTACCATTAGCATTACCTGGCTAAACAGTCTTCTCTTGTCTGAACTAATTTTTAAAAAGGATACAAAGCAGGAAGAGTTAATCTAAAATTTATATCCTAAATTATAAATATAGTGATAGTGTCTGAAAAATACCTAAAATAATTTTATTAATTCTATTAAAAAACAAAAAAATAATGGCCATAATAATGGTAATTGCATAATAAAATTACAATATTCATAATAAAATAATATATATTTTAAAAATTTTCCAGTTATCATCAACTGACTCGCCTGATATACCATTCACTTACGCTGACTCTGATTGTTACAGTGCCGAAATGGCCGGTTATTATAAATTATTATTTGTATAATTTTTGTTATTATCATCATAATTATTATTATTATAATACTAATTTAGAGTTGTATAGCTATACTGAAGAAAGTGAGTTCCAGAACACTAGAGAGTCCTTTGATGAATTGTTTAGACAATATTGTTAGTCATTTGTTTATTTGTTTGTTGGTTTGTTTGTTTGTTTGTTCATTCATTCATCCATTCATTCATTTATTCATTCATTCATTTATTCATACATTAGTTTATTTCATTTATTTATTTATTCTTGGATCGATACCATTCCTAGTACATTCATTCATTTGTTCAATTAATTTTTCTTCCTATAATTCATTCATTCATTCATTCATTCATTCATTCATTCATTCATTCATTCATCCTTTTAATCCTTAATGTCTGTTGTTTCTTCAATTAATTTATTAAATCAATCAATCATTTATTCATTTATCTCCTTATTTGGCATCATCATAAACATCATCATCATCACAACTAACATCACCATCATTATCATCATCGACTTAGTTAAAAATCCAGCCACAAAATGGCCCAGCCTATCGCGAAAGGAGAAAATGGGTCATGTGATGCGATTGGTTGAAATGACCGAGGTCTCCGAGAAGCATGTCAGGTCAAAGGCTGTTCTGGCCATACTGTACCTATGTCAAGGTCGTGATAATTGTTATTTGTTGTGTGTTCATTATTAACATGCTTCTTTTGATATCATATCATTTTTTTGATATCATATACTATCACTTCTACCACTACTATTAGCAAGAACCAAGAATTTGGACCAAGAATACTAACCAATCGTATTACAGGTTTAAATATACAAATCAATGGTAATCCTATTCATCGATCGAAGCAAAACAGCTGAACAAAATTTGTATGCATCTTCAACAACGATAACTTATCCTGGGACTTGCACATTAATTTTATCTCTCAAAAAATATAAAAAACAATGGGTATATTATATAAAATTAAATATCAAATATCAAAAAATGTATTATTAGAATTATATTATACCCTTATATACCTAAACTTTAATGCATTGCGATTTGCTGTAGGGAAACAATCAAAATTTAAAGGTTAAAAGGTTAAAGGTCAATTAGACTCTTCCAGAGTTCAGAGGATTCAACAACAGGCCACAAACATCGTATATGAATACGTGCTAGACGACGCATCACGCACGAGGCATGTGATAGGCGGGGATCTTGTCGTATTCGAACCCGGTTACTGTGAAACAACACCAGGCGACCTTAACCATTAGACCATCACACCGTTATTACACATGCAACCCATCTCCGCTGGCCAAAACCGTTTCATTCGTTCTTCTCTCTTCCAGCCTTCATCCTCGCTGCTATAATATAATATAATATTACTAGTTATTCCGATATTTTACAGATTTTGAACCTTAAAAATACCCACTTGTACACTTTGGCTCTTTTTATTTAAATAAATATTTCTACTGTAAACTCCAGTAGTTTTTTTTTTTTTGAGATTTTTTCAACTCAAGAAGTTCAATCCAAACTGGTGTATCGAGGCATGCGTCAACTTTTCATTCCAGTTATTCTAAATTGAAAATGATGAATTCCAGCTTAAAAATTTCTGTTCCAAAAGGCTTGGGATGGAATTATAAACACGGAAATTAGAAATATATGTCAAAAAGATTTATTTAAAAACAATGTCAAAAAATTGTTGATTGAGCAAAATACTTTGTTTTTAACTTGATATCAAAACGAAATTGGTATTGTGTACGCATGTATGTATGTGTGCGTGTGTATGTTTGTTTGTGTGTGTGTCTGTGTGTATCATAGTCACCTCTTTCTTCATTAACATTTATTTACTAGAACAAGAATTTCTTACCTGCTGGCTAACAAACAATAACATTTCACTACTCGTATTGTGTTTTCATATGCGTCCGTGAATGCTATTAGTGATTGATTTTAGTGAAGTATGTAGCGAAGGACTAATTGCCTTATGTTTAAATCTTTGTGAATTTGTATATGTACGTATGCATATGTGTATTTATGTATATTTTTTTTTAATTATGTTGGGCTTGTCTGGTCTGCCTGGTTGTTAACAATCTAGTGGATTTGATCGAGTTCGGA